CTCTCCTCTCTCTCACTTTCTCTCTCTCCCTCTCACTTTCTCTCTCTCTCTCTCTCTCGTGATTACACAAGCTCTACACCAAAAAAAAAACTTTAAAAATTATTTATTCCATGTGTTACTGTTTTTAAATTTGACTAGAGAGAGAGACACACAGAGAGAGAAAGTGGAAGCGAGAAAGCAAGCTACCAGGTCTGGGACTTGATCCATTGTCAGCCATGTGGGAGTCCAGCATCTTAACCACCATGCCATCTGCTGACCTCAAATACTATTTTTTAAATGGTTATAAAAAGTCAATAGAAGGGGACCAGCAAGTGGCGTGGTGGTTAAAGTGTTGGACACTCCCACATGGCCGACCACGGTTCGAGTCCCAGACCTGGCGGCTTCCTTTCTCCCTTGGGACCAGCAGTTAGCGTAATGGCTATGTCGCTGGACTTCCACGTAGTTGACCATGATTCGCGTCCCAGACCCAGTAGCTTAAATTTACGCTGGGCGAGTGTGTGTGCATGCCCAAGATGCCGAGAAGAGAATGGAGGAGAAGGGATTGTGGCCTCTCCAAAAAAAAGAGACAGAAATCAACAGGGCTATGAAATATGATAACCTAGATAAAAATATAAATTATTAGAAAACTGTAAAATGTCAAAATGGAAACAAGAAGCAGAATTTGAACAGACCAGAAACCTCTTAGTCCCAAGGCCCCAGTCCAGGTGTTTTCCAGAAGTCTACTGAATTTTTTTTTTTTTTGAGAGGTTTTTGCTATAGGGCGCGTGCGCTCGCCAGACAGAGACAGAGAGACAGCGAGAAATCACCCCCCAGGGGGGATGGCCACGCCGCAATCCCTTCTCCTCCGTTCTCCTCTCGGGATCTTGGGCATGCACACACACACACGCCCGGTGTAAGTTTAAGCCACTGGGTCCGGGACTCAAACCGTGGTCGACTACGTGGGAGTCCAGCAACACAGCCATTATGTTAACTGCTGGTCCTAAGTCTACTGAATTTTTAACCTTCAGTTAATTTCTCCTTATAGAATTTGTTCTGGAAAACAGAAGAGAGAATGGAAGTTATCGACCCATTTTTTAAAATTATTAATTTAATTTTATTTATTCATTTTCATTTGACCAGAGCTAGACACAGAGAGAGAGAGAGAGGGAAAGTGAGAAAGCAAGCCACCGGGTCCGGGACTTGAACCATGGTCAGCCATGTGGGAGCGTCCAGCACCTTAACCACCATGCCACCTGCTGGTCCCCTTATCAGCTCATTTTAAGAGGCCAGTATAATCTTGATTCCAATGCTAGATGAAGAACAGGATTTAAAAAGGAAAATTATAGGCCCATTTTACTTCTAAGTGCGGATACAAAGACCCTTGATAAAGCACTGGGTAGCTAGAGCCGGGAGTGTGTTGAATACTTGGTGTGCCACACACGAGGGCCCCAGCAGACTCTGGGCTCTGAGGGATCAGGATGTGTGGACAAGGCACATCAACCGTAGCAAATGCCCACTCTGATGGGGGGTGTTGCTAATGGGGGGATAGGGGATACAGAAGTCTTCGTACCTTCCTCCCAATTTTGCTGCAAATTTAAAACTGCTCTAAAATATGAAGGCTTGGCCAGCAGGTGGCATGCTGGTTAGAGGTGCTGAGCTCCTGCGTGGCCGACAGGTCGAGGCCTGGTGTGTTTTTCAAGCACCAGGCCTGGGAGTTGAACCGTACACTTGGCCACGTGGGATCCAGCCACATGAATGCTGGCTGGAAATTTTTTGTTGTTGTTGTTATTAAAATGTAAAAATACGTGGTGTTGAGCCAGATGTTGGGGCGACGGGTGGGACATGCTCTGTAAGGCCGTCACCACGGGAAGGCTGCCAGGTCAGGCCCGGAGACGGCCCTGAGAACAGGGCTGCCTGCCATCACCTGGTGCTGGCTGAGGGCTGGGGTAGACGCAGGGTCGGTACCTGCCGGGCGCTCTCTCGCATGGAAAGAGTAACTTAAAAATACGTAATAACGGGAACCAGCAGTTAGCGTAGTGGCTATGTCGCTGGACTCCCACGTAGTCGACTGCAGTTTGCGTCCCGGACCCGGTGGCTTAAAACTCACGCCGGGCGCCTGTGCGTGCGTGCCCAAGATCCCGAGAGGAGAATGGAGGAGAAGGGATTGTGGCATGACCATCCCCCCTGGGGGTGATTTCTCACTTTCTGTCTCTATGTCTCTCTCTGTCTGTCTGGCGAGCGCACGCGCCCTATAGCAATAAACCTATCCAAAAAAATAAATAAATAAAACCATAATAACCAAGTAGGGTTCACATCTCAAGAATACAGGGACAGAGGAAGGGGGGGGGCCGCCTGACTGACGTACTCAGGGGGTGCCAGCCGATGGCAGTGGAGGGCCCTGTGCCAGAAGAGCCAGTACATGACGCTGCTAGGCCAGCGCAGGGTGCTGAGGAGTGGCATGTGCTCACCTACACCCACGGGAAGGTGCCAGGACATTTGCAGAGAGAGTGCAACCTCAGAAAACCGCACTGATGGGTTAAAGGAGGAAACTGCACCTCAGCCGTGCAGAAAGCCCCGCAGCAATCGTCGGCTGCCACCCTGTGCCAGAAGAGCCAGTACATGACGCTGCTAGGCCAGCGCAGGGTGCTGAGGAGTGGCATGTGCTCACCTACACCCACGGGAAGGTGCCAGGACATTTGCAGAGAGAGTGCAACCTCAGAAAACCGCACTGATGGGTTAAAGGAGGAAACTGCACCTCAGCCGTGCAGAAAGCCCCGCAGCAATCGTCGGCTGCCACCGTCCCACAGCTGGGGCTGCGTGCCGAGCGCTACAGGGAACGCCACGCTTAGAGGAGAAGCCTGAAGCCTGGGCAGAGATGAGGGGGCCACTTTCCCGCTTTGGTCTAACGCAGTGTAGGGGTCCTAGTGTGGCCGATGCTGTAAGAAAAAGACAAAGAAGGACTGGCAGGTGGCATGGTGGTTAGGGGCGCTGGACTCCCACGTGGCCGACCCCGTTTCAAGTCCCAGACCTGGCAGCTTGCTTTCTTGCTCTCTCTCTCTCTGTGTGTCTTGCTCTAGTCAAATTGAAAATAACAATAATGATAAAGAACATAAAGGAAAAAAAATTTTTTGAGAGGTTTTTGCTATAGGGTGCTTGCACTTGCCAGAAAGAGAGACAGAAAGCGAGAAATCACCCCCCAGGGGGGATGGCCACGCCGCAATCCCCTCTCCTCCATTCTCCTCTCGGGACCTAGGGCATGTGCACACACGTGCCCAGCATGAGTTTAAACCACTGGGTCCAGGACTTGAACTGCTGTTGGCTACATGGGAGTCCAGCGACATAACAATTACGCCAACAACTGGTCCCAAACTGGTCCCAGAAATAATTCTTTAAAAAAAAAAAAAAGAAAGAAAAGGGAAGGAGGAAAAAGAGAGAGGACAAGAAAAAGGGGAGGAGGAGGAA